TCAAAACGTGTAGCTTCGCGTTACGAAAAGCAGCGTACCTGCTAATTGATGTCCCTTCGTCCCGTGTCATTCCCTTACTGATTACGCTGAAGGATCCGCCGGTTGCTCCCTGTTCAAACCTGAATGCGACCTTTCCGCAGTCGTCATAGAATTCGGTCAGAGTTCAGCGTGCGCTCGCCTGGAAGGTGAACTTGGGGCCACGCGTCGTACGTCGCCAATTGTTTGCCCCGGATCAAGCGCCCACGATCAGTGCAGCGGAGCGTGGAGGCGTGAGCTGGGCTCGGCACGCGTGGTGGTTTTTGGGGCATGGCGTGTGCAGGTACTGGAATTTGAACGCGACGTGCGAGCGTAACGTGCCGGGGCACGCTCCGAGCGGCCTTACCATTTTTTTGTCCCATTGTCACGGTGGTAGGGCGTTGTTGCTGATCGCAGCACTCGCTCGCTTTTTGAGCATCGCGAGGCCGGCAAACTGGAGCTGACGTTTTTTGCCGGAGCACGCCGAGTGGTCGCCAATTAACCCTGCCACTGGGGTGGAAGGTTCACAGCTGGCTGCGTGTATAGTAAAGTAACTATGCTAGTTTAACACGTAGGCCTTCGCGACCAATATTATTCATAATAAAGGCTTTTGGGTTAGATCGCGTTATTTATAAATGTGTCGTAACCCTCCACCACCCGACACGACGGCCAAACAGTAAAAAATGTGTCACGTTTACAAAAGACAAATAGTTCACTACTTTAGCCCACCGGTGTGTTGAAGAGTGAATCAACATCATTTAAAATTTTGAGTACGACGTTACATCCAGCATCATCGGGCAATTTGCCAGAATGGCGAGGCCCTCCACTTGCTCCCGGTCTTAAATAGAGCAGCAGCACGGTGACGTCATCTAGTTGTAGCCCTTGGTCAGTCTATTCCCCGTGTCGTGTCGGCCATGGGAGTCGTTTGATTATACTTCACCAAGCTGGTCATTGCGGATTGGTGAAGATTTGGACGATCCAGGACCGTTTTGGGTGCCACTCGCCAACGATGTTAGCCGTGGCCAGGAATCGAAGGTGGCTGGGTTTCATATGGCTTTGCGCTAACCGCAGCGCCACCGCTCCACCTCCGAAGTAGATTTAACCGTGTGTACTTTTTTTACACGCTTTCTATTAACTCACTGTGTCTGTTGTTGTATCCTCAAATCTTGTAACTCAATTTGAACCCACTTCCCAATGTGGTATTGATTGCAAACTTGGTATACTTATGTCATACTGATGACAATACCATATTCTATCATAAAAAATTAAAAATAAATATTTTTAAACAATATTTTTTACATGTTATGTTTCGGCTTGGGTCTAATTGTCCACGGTAAACTGACGTTGGCTGTAATTGGCCACGGTCCCTTACGTTATGGCAAGCTTCGGGACCACTTCCTGGAGTCGTGGAGTTCTTCCATTACTAGTAGGGTACATTTCATTAAAGCGTGTTTTAAAAAAAAATTACTTATTGTTGCTGCTCTGCGATCTACTTGGCTGACGCCCAAGCTGTGACCTGCCGGACAGGTTACACCGGCGGTGACTTTGTATAGGTGGCAAACAGCCTGTACGTTGCGCTAGTAATCGTTATCGAGCTTTGGATATTTTTGGTATTTTATCAACCCGTCTCGTCACAATCCACGGCCAGTGAATTACTTTGCCTCACTGATGATGGAGATCCAATACCTGTTGCTGTTTAGGAGCACGAGACCTCAATCAATTTAGAACTTCTAGCCAAATCTGCTCTATGTACCCCGCCCACTCTGTATCGATCGCTGGGGTTGTATGACTACTTCACCATGCTGGCCAGTGTGGGTGAGTGAAGGCTGGGGGAGGGTAACCCGTCACTGGTTCAGCACTCACTGTTGATGATGTCAGCTATGGCTGGGAACCGAACTCTGGTTGCTGAGTTCATAGCATAGTGCGCTAACCACTGCGCAGAGGTCGCAACCGGGTACCCGATACCCGTACCCTACCCGATACCCGGCTACCTGTACCCGGCCGGGTACGGGTACGGGTAGCCGTTTGCGACCCTGGTGCGGCCGGGTACGGGTAAGGAATCAAAACCCGTTTGCGACCTCTGCCGCTGCGACATCGCTCCCCATGTTACGACTACCCGAGGTCAGTGGGGCACCACGGTGGCGAGATGACGACGACCTCGCCTGGTATACAGGAGGTCGTGGGTTCGATCCCAACCCCCGACGCCTAGTATATTTGGAGTTTGCATGTTCTCCCTGTGGTCCCTTCGATTTTTCTCGCGGTCGTCTGGTTTTTCTTTCCACATTTAGAAACAACATGCGTTTCGGAATAAAAACCTGCTCTCCATTTCCATGCGATAAGCCACTTTGTTGAGCTATCATTTATGGCCAGGTAGCTTCTGATAAAGAGCTAAATAGCGCAGTGGGCCTTACCTGGTAAAATAAAAAATAGTTTAGTTTATTGAGCTCCATACAATACAATTTTTATTTGTATCATATCTAAATGCATACGCATATCGAGACCCTGCCTAGAAACAATAGACTTATTTATTTAATAAAGACAATCAGTTGGAGGGCAGGGAAAAATATAGGGAAGGTCTTGAGCCCTCCACTTGAGTGCGGGCACGGAGTCGACAGCACTGATGACTGGGGAAGGCATTTCCAGACGAGCGGATGGCTGTCGGGAAGGGAGTTCCAAACGACGGGGGCGGTAGAGGAGACTTGGCGACTTCCCATGGATCGACAGTCGGCTGGGGATTCAAGATAAATGTAGGTTAGTCGCACAAAGTTTGTTTTGTAAATATTACAGTGTTCGGTTTTGAGTCGGGAACTGCATTTTGCGTTTGCTGCTGTGACGTTGGGTGCGGTCAAAGGAGCCATGTCTGGTTGTCCGTCTCTCTCTGTGTCTCTCTGTCTGTCTGTGTGTCTCTCTCTCTGTGTCTCTCTGTATCTGTCTCTCTCTGTGTCTCTTTGTCTCTGTCTCTCTTTCTGTCTCTCTCTCTCTGTCTCTCTGTGTCTCTCTCTCTTTGTGCTCATCTTGTTTTATGGTCAAGTGGGCGATCAAAAAAATCCTCATTTAAATTAATCGGCTGCTACAAGCCACTGACGGACATCCTCCAGTGCTGCGGTTACCTTTGACGGGTCCCATCCACTCATTCACAGGTGTCTGTTTGGGACAAGTACATGTACAGCCCTTTTATCAATCCGCTGCTGCATGAGGTAGACATATCCTACACGTGCTAACAGTACGTCATTGCCGCTGTTGTCTGGGCCGGACGGTAACTTTGTGTACTGTGTGAATGTACAGCCCTTTTGTCAATCCACTGCTGGATGAGGGCCTCCCTACGCCATGCGGGGCTGTGGAGCTTATTGGACTTTGCTTCACTGGGCTGGTCATTGCGGGTTGAAGGCAGGAAGTATAGATGTGGGAGCATAGAAGTACAATGTAACCATGCCTTATTCCGCACTGCCCGCTCCTGTCCAGTACATAGCCCCACAGCAGCCCACAACAGCCTGCTGTGCACGACAATCACACCCACACAGTGAGCACCTATTTGGAACGCAATGGCACATAGGTAGGGTGGTATGCCCAGTACCGCACACAGCTGACTTTTGTCTGGTGTCTGCACACCACATCAGGTGCACATTTATACGGCGACCTGAGGGAGGCTCGGAACCATTTTAGATATTCGCCATTGATGTTGGGCATGAACAAGAATCAAACTCTGGTCACTGGGTTCATGGCGCAGTGCACGAGCCACTGCACCATTACTCGTGTGTCAGAAATCACTGCTTCCACTCAGAGTGGCTGCAGAATAAGGTGATTAGCGGTCAACCACAGAGCACGGCGTGTGTGTGGGTGTATAAGATTCCAAAGTACTGAAGTACATCATCCGTGTCGTAATATTCTACCCACAAGTGCAAACAAATCAAGTTCGAAATAGCATGCCTGGTGGCTGTGTTTATCTGTTGACGTTGGGGAATCAAAGAAATGTATCGCGTTTTGAAACACTTGGGCTGTCACTTTTAACGGCTGTTCAAACCATCATGCAACCGTGCGAGTCACTGTTTTTTTGGTAAACCTGATTAAGGTTGATTGATGTATTATTCTGCGGCCCAATCAGCAGTGCTTTCGTAATTTTTTTTCACGCTAAAATATGCCACCCGATTGGAATTGCACCAATCCAGCAAAATAACAGCGCTGATTAAAGGGCTGACAGGTCGACGTCTTGAGCTTTCATCGGCTTCGTGGTTTCATTGCTCGTGCTTTGTCCGCCAGGCTGCTGAGTGCTCGTGGGTTTCCTGCTGATACATCAGCAGGTATTACTCTCCGGTTCACCTTTGGGGTATCTGCAGGAAGGAATGCAATTCAAAGGCGTCCCAAGTGCGGAGTAATAATATTCCACGCTGATGTTTAAAACAGATGCGCTGAGTGCCAAGCACTTAAATAAGCAGCGCACGTATAAAATGGTTTGAAATTGTTGAAACAGTTTTGTATGTACGTGTGCGTGCGTGCGTGTGTTTGTGTATGTGTGTGGAATTTCCCGTGAAAAAGTCTTTCCTTTAATACAGCCAGTCGGTCGCAATGTTGAAACTAATTTTAAGAAGAAGAAAACTAAGTCCTGTATATTTTTTGCTGTTACGCAAACGTGCCTTTTAATAACACTAATTAATGGTTATTCTGTGTCCGGAGCGAATGATGTCTGGCTAAAGTGGCAGACCCATTGATTGGTTATTTTAAGTTAAATAAATCTCATGTTTTGACTGAGCCAATAGACATTTCCCGGGAAGGATATTGTTATGCAAACCAACCGCCGTATCAAAAATGTTCATCTTGAGACAGAGCTTTATCTCGCTGCCGACATGCGGCCTCAGAGCACGGGGGAGGGAGACGGGAGGGGGGGGGCGGTTTTAGAAAAAGTGTGCAGACGCACGGTCCGATGCCTTCCCTGCGCGCGTGAGCACAACGTCGCCGATTGTCTCCGCATCTGCCGTCCCTCCCCGCAGCTCGTGCAGATCATCATCAACACGACCCACCTGGAACAGTCCTGCAAATACCTGGAGGATTTCATCACCAACATCACCAACGTCTCCCCAGAGACCGTGCACACCACCAAGCTCTACGGCACCTCCACCTTCAAGGTGGGGGGCGGGTCACGGCGAGAAGAGAAGCGCCGTCACGTTGGTGAAATGTTGCCACTGTTCCTGGCCGGGCTGGGGCAAGCCGGTCCAATGAATGAGCCTCCTGTTCGATTCGCTCAAATTCCTTCCCAAATCCGGTGTCACGAGGGCAAATGCCTCCGTACAAACATTGCCTGCGCGTGAACGTGCGAATGTTTTTTCGGATAAAATACGCGAGTTGAATAAGCGGGGGGAGTTGACGTCACACAAAGCGGTACTATTTTTTTTTATTCACCCCGAAGTGATGATGAATCTTTCCCCAACCTGGGTTTGAATCTATAGGGAGTTAAGCAATCAAACCACTGCATTGTGACAAAACAGATTTTCAGCAAAACTCGATTTAATTATTTTACTTGCACATAATGCCTGAGACATTTGAGAATGAATAATTTAACACTTCACTGAATATTTATTGGAAATATTTTCACTTTGATAACACTTCAAAAAACATCTGCTGCCCAGTGTAATCCGAGTCCACCATCACCATGAAGCAGAGGTGGATGGCTGCGGTTTACTGGATGTGGAAGGCCAAAAGAGATATTGTGAAATATATATAGAAATCTAAAAAATACAAAACAAGACTGAAATCGATGACTGCGGAGTCCAAGAGCTCAGGTTCACCAGCTATCACACAATTGCTCGCTTGCAATCACACACCGTCTCCGACTGCGCGAGCTTAATTAGTGCGGCTAAAAGTGTTCCTTTTGTATGTGTGGGCATCTTGTGTGTGTGTGCATCTTCTATGACTTACACCTAATTCAGGCTTTGAGAGATTTGACCGTATTTGTTTTATCCGATGCGGGTGAGATGCACCGCCGGGGGTAGTTGCTGCGGTCTTGTCCCCTCCCCCCCCCCCCCGTCTGCTCGTCGATAACTCGGGGAGGCCCGTGGCTTGTCGTGTCGCGCAGGACGCCCGGCACACGGCGGAGGAGGAGATCTACACGAAGCTGCACCAGAAAATCGACGAGTTCCTGCAGCTCGCCGACTACGACTGGATGCTGCCTGAGCCCAACGGGCACGCCAGCGACTACCTCATGGACCTCATCAACTTCCTGAGGAGCACCTTCGCCGTCTTCACGCACCTGCCTGTGAGTAGCCCCATCCCAAGTCTGTTTGTTCCTCAATTAGTTTCGTCTCGCGGGGAAATGCCTGGCACGTTCGTTCGGTCGCACGTATGTACGCGTGGAGTTCCGTCTGCCTTGGTTTTGCCGGTTGCTTGGGACTTGATTGGTCGTTGCGATGACTCGCCACCCGAACAGCTTCTTGATGGGCTCCACAACTCGACGGCTTAGTCAGATGATCTGGAACGAAAGCTAGACGCCGCTTCTTGCCACTACCAAAATTCCAGACTAATAGCGCGCCTTATTTCATTTTAATTAATTTTCTGTCATTGCAACGATTCGCCGTATAAATGATCAATATTGATTCTTAAGCCTTTGATTACACTATGGAACACAATTTTTGTTCCTGGGTAGTAAGTGTTATTTCGTAATTGCTTATGCCTAAAAAGCATAGAAAATGGCTATTATTCCCCACAAACTTTGCTTTTGTGCTCAGGACAGTGATATTTTTAAATGTACCTATTTCCAATGAGAAAACGGGCGAATTTGTGTCTTTTCGTTCACATACAGTCATTTAAAAACAACATATGAATCAACATTGACATGTATTTATACGAAAGTAATACAAAAATTACTACAAAAGATTTAGAAGTGAGTAGTTTTTCGACATTGTTCCTCCCCACAGAGCACTCGGTCCGCTGTGGCCAGTCCCGCCTTGGTGTCTAAATCTTTTGTGGTAATTTTTGTTTTCCGCTAATGCCAAGCGATTATTACTTGAGTGATATGGAACATTTTTGAGTATTCAAATGAGATGATGAAATCAAGACAAAATGAATTGATTCGTGAAATAGCTGGGTAATGAGAGGGCAATGGTGAATCGTAACCTGCCTCATGTTGATATCTCTACGGGTCATGAAACGAGTCTCAACGTTCACTTGCATTGTTTATGCGAGGGAGGGACTACGGGCGTAGCAACATTTAAGGGTGGCACAAGACATCGCCACTGTCACCAGGCATTACCTGCCAGTTCTCTTGCCCGTGCGCTCTTTAATATTGATGAGTGTGCCTGGTTATTCCGTGTAAGCCCAGAGGTGCGTGCAATCCATCAAGAATATTAATGAGATTCCTGTGTGTGGTATATTCCACCGTATGAAGACTTCGGTTTTGTTGAGAGAGGTTAGGGTCTATTGAGCGAACAAGCTTTTTTTCGAGGGTGATGAAATCGACCAAGACTCGTACCGCATGTTCACCTCCATCAGTGATCATCCCATGGAGATTCTGGTCCCTGCCACAGGAATATGGAATTTCAACTACTAAGGGCTCCCTTGCACCCTTGGATTTTTTCGTGAAACGAAATTCATGGCAAATGTGGATTGAAAAGAAATCCAGATTTGCGGGCAGAGTAAAAAAGAATATTTATTTGTCTTCTTGGTTCTTTCGGTAAAGTCACGTAGAAGGGAACTCAGGTGAAGAACATGTCTGTTGGAAAGACAGCGTCATTCAGACGTGTCATTCAGACGCTGTCTTTCCGACAGACATGTTCTTCACCTGAGGACGGCTGCTTGCGTTGTGGCCGAAACGTCGTGAGAATTATTTTATTATGTTTTATTTGTATTATCTTATTATTTCCCTTCTACGTGACTTTACCGAAAGAACCAAGAAGATGAATCCCTGCAGTCACGAAAGCTTTAAATCGAAATATTTATTTGGAGGAGAAATCCAATGAGCTATGAAGCTCTTTTTCAGAGACGTCCAGTAAGTGGCACGGGGTCAGCACGTTACAACAACAAAAAATACAAAAAACAAGAGTGAAAAATTGAGAGAATGCTGCTAAAGACCATCCGCCATGGCGTGGGCTTGTTGTGGCCTTGTGCTCCACAGGGAGCGAAGAAGAGTTAAGCTAAGTAAGCTTAGAGAAAGGGTAACCAAGTAAAAGTAAATATAGAAATATAAATTAAGTAAAAAGTACACATTTACGTAAGTACATCAGTGGGCTTGGGCAGGACACGTCGTTTGAAGGGATGGTGGCCGGGGGTCGAGGCTACTGATGGAGCTGCAGCCAAAGGACGGAACGCGCCCAACACGGTCGTCCACCGCATAGATGGGGCGTTGAAATCAGCTGTTCTGTACGCGGGCGATGGATTTTTACTTCGCAAGACCGTGATTGACGATGGCGACAGCTTGGGGAGAGGCATTTATCCGCTAAAGTTATTAAATCGTGCCTGGTGATGAATTCAAATATTCATGGCGTTATTGTGTGATCATAATGTTCATGAGGTTCATCTTATTAGCACCTCCAATTAGCATGTGAAAGAAGTTCAACATACATACTTCTTTAACGGTATACGTGTGACTATGGATATATTTGAATGTAATTCATCCTTTTGTGGAATCTGTGGATGCAACGTTATGGGAATTTATTTGTAAATGCTTTGAATCTATCTTAAAATCTCAAAATGCATCGCTGCGTTTGTTTGGTGTTTTCTGATAGTACGCACATGTTACGATGTTCGAGGAGGAAAGTTAGAAGGAGTTGGTGTTGTTTTTTCACCTTTTGTGCACTCGAAAAGCATTCCCTAATGCATAGCTCAGCGGACACATTTGCATTTCACAGTTGAACTCGGCCCTTTCAGGACCAGGTGTCTTCGTTGTATAAATGTGCAGCACTGACAGGCACTTAACGCTATTGTGATACCATAACAATATGCTTAATACACTATATTGATAACACAGCCACCTGTGTGTGTGTATGTATTTAATAACGAGACTGGTGATGGACATGCAGCAAAGACATAGAACACAAATGACTCACTCGCAAATTGGGAGATACTAATAATAATCTTTTCGGGCTCGTGCATTACATCTGTACAGGACCTTAGGTAGTGGTGGCAGTTTGGAGAGGCCTTTCGTTCATCCCTGATTTTTTTTTCTCCTTATTGGATAACGCCAAGGTGTCTGTGAATGAGGGTCCACCAAAGGTATTTGAAGAACTTATCCAGGACTTGACTTCAGCCGAGTATGTGCTGATCCGTGACCTGGATGGTTATTTCAGCACATGGCGTTGCACATCCAGTATCCCTCTCACTATGGCCGTAGCTCCTAAGCACGTGCCTATAATCCAGTATACCGGGAAGCTGAAAGACATTCGGTTAGAAGTTTACACGCTGGTTACTTGGCCCTCAATCAGAAAGAGGTTCTAAGGGTTCTCTGCTCCAGGTATGCCCCGTTGCGAACGCGTTGGCACAATGAAGGCACCCGCGACGGCATGAGTTGCCCGTTGGCGACTCTGCAGTGCGCAAGCAAGGTAATGCTTAGAGGCCCCGTACCGTAATTACCTCTGAAAGGCTGTCACTCAGCGGCCGCCTTCCCCAGTGTGGGAAGTAAATTAGCCCTGGTTATCCTGCACGACCCGTGACCCGCAGAGCCTGCTGATTGACAGGCCGGGGGAGCCGACCTGTGGTCAGGAGCTGCCAACCTGCCAGAGACGGAAGCCTGGTCCTGGGGCCCGGTGTTAGTTGCTGAGGTCGTTTGACCTCTCTGTGTTTTTTCTTTTCTCCCTCCTCACTTCGTCGTCTTCGTCTCCTTCCTCCTCCTCGTCTTCGTCCTCCTCCTCCTCCCAACCTTTAGTTGCGTCCTACTGTGCATCGTTTTACCCTCAACGTGCTTTCGTTGGTACGTCGGTCGTTGGTCCGTGTTTGCGCAGCTGCCAGTTTAGCGGTCGCGTACGGTGCTGATTTGATGTTTGACAGAGCGCCTGTTAGGCTGGCGGCATCTCGGATTGAAAATAGTCAATTAATCGCATTAAATGTGGGCGCATGGATGTGGTTGTTTGACCTTACCGCTCATGTTGTTTATGTTGAGACTCAAATGTGTAGTATAGGGTTTTGTCATGTTGTGCCTAAAATCCCCCCCCCCCCAAAAAAAAATACCCCTTTAAAATCAAAGTAATGAGGATGGGGTGGTACGGTGGCCCAGTGGTTTGAGAGCTGTCTTGAAGCCGGAGGCCTGATTTCGATTCCCAGCCATGCATATCATGAGTGGCAAGTGATATTGGAACCAGTCATTTTCACCAACCCTCATTGACGTATGGTCAAGCACAACTTCCATACATGACATGAATGAGGCCTTCATTCAGCAGGGCAGTGGAAAAGGGCTGCATTTATTTAATATTTTATATAAAATAATAACTTTATCCCAATTTTGCTGTAAAAATATGTGAATTACAACTTCCTTTTCTCTTCATCCACGTCTGTGCCCAAAATTTAACAGCGATCGTAAAAACAGCACACACACACACATTTAGCAATGTTTCGTATCGTTGGAATGGTCTTTTTTTTTATAAATTGTCAATTTATTTAACAGCTATCATAAATTTGACAACAGGGTTCATATTGAACCCACATGTAACATACACTCACTAAGCTCTGTTGACTTACCCCCAGAGCCATTGCAGCTGTAGGGAAAGGGTGACACTGCCTCGAAGGCACATGTTCTGCTAAGCTCCGCAAAGCCTGTCGGATAATTAGAGCTTTCGTGAGTATTTGGCCAGGTCACACATTCAAAAGAGAAACAACACCACAGCTTTAGCCAAAGGAGGGAAACACACCTGAGAGGTACATCCACCGTGGAGATGGAGCAAATGAAAGCAGCTCCAGTACAAGAGCGAGATGGACCGAAGACTGTGAGAGGTGGTAATGGCACTTTGGGAGAGCCTCCGTTCACCAGTGGACAGTTTAAAGTTGATTTTGTTTAACCACGTGAACACCCAAGAGACCAGGATAGTCTCATTTGCAAGTGACCTGAGGCATCAGTGTGCCAATAGGGTGGCTGATTGCTGCTGTGTGTAATCCCAATTGAGCGCGCTAATTTTTTTAATGTTGCAAATTTGGTCCCTGATGCCGTCCAAACATAGGCCTGCTCACGCGAATGACATCAGGGGATCGTTAACGTCCGCTGTGACGTAGCCAGCGCTTGATATTATGGTTATTGAAGCCGCAGCCATCATCATCAAGGCAGCCGCTGGAATC